TTCTCTGGGTAGCCCTGATTTGCAGTTCTGTCCTTTCTGGACCAATCCCAGTGTGAGACTTGGTGCAGTGATGGGGAAGCAACCAGTCCCCTTAATCCCTTCCCATCTGCCTCCACTTTTCCTCCACTTCCTGGCTCAGTGCTCTTGTCTCAAACCTGCCTTCTGATTCAGCAAAATCTCATCATTCTAATTTCAAAAGATCCTGGTGTGTGTGTGTGTGTGTGTGTGTGTGTGTGTGTGTGTGTGTGTGTATATGTGTGTGTGTGTGTGTAAAAGAGAGCACCAGGTACCCTGGAGCTGTGTTACATACAGGAGGATGTAAGCCATCTAGTCTGGGTGCTGGAAACCAAACTAGGGTCCTTTATAAGAGAAGCAATCATCCTTAGCTACTGAACCACTTCTCCACACACACAACCCCCCCCCTTCTAGGTTTTAATGCATAAAGATGAATATTGACTCAACTGTAGTTTTCAAAAAGACCAGTCTTTTTGTTTTTTAATTGTTTTATGTGTATGAGTGTTTTGCCTGCATGTGTGTATGTGTACCATAGGCATACATATATATACAACACATACATACAATGTCAAAGGGGCCAGAAGAGGGAATCAGATCCCTGGTACTGGAGTTATGGTTGTGAGCCACCATGTGATAACCTTCCTCTGGAAGAGTAGCCAGTGTTTTTAACAGCTGAGGTATCTCTCCAGCTCCAAAAAGTCTTCTTTTGCAAAGCTCCAGCAGTCCTGAATATGAGTAACAGCATCCAAAAATGAGTCTGTAGTTTGATATGAAACTCTGCTTATTGGAAATGCTTTTGATGAAGCGTAGCAATCTAAATCTGGTGTGATCTCTAACAGTTTTGAATGAGAGTCAGGAAGTTGTTATATATCTCAAAATTCAAAATAAGGACATTATGGGAATTGTGACTTGCTTGAATCCACTCAAAATATTTGAAATTTACTACTACCTTGTTTCTTAGAAATCATATTTCTTCTCTGTAAGACATAAATAAAAAACCAAAGTTGGCACCCCAAAGCTACCTTATATGATTTCTTTTTTTTTTCTCGAGACAGGGTTTCCCTGTGGCTTTGGAGGCTGTCCTGGAACTAGCTCTTGTAGACCAGGCTAGTCTCAAACTCGCAGTGATCCACCTGCCTCTGCCTCCCGAGTGCTGGGATTAAAGGCATGCGCCACCACCGCCCGGCTCTTACATGATTTCTGAAGTAAGCTGTCTTCTCTCCACTCCCAACTCCAAGGGCCTGGAATCTCAAGAAGGAAATTTCACATCCATGAATAATACATGCATTAATCTCTATAAGACCAACATGCAGAAAATACTACAATGTTGCTGACTACCATTCAATCCCACAGCCCATGACAACTGTCTATGCTTCCATAACTTTTCCATCCATTTGCATAGTTCTCTATGACTTTGTTTTTTATTATTCTTAATATTATACTGTTGCCCAGTATGCCCCTAGGGTTTATTTCTTTAAGAAAATCATATGACAGTTTAGTATTACTATTGGATTTTTGAGACAGAATCTTACTATACATCCCAAGACAGGCCTTGAATTCACTCGTCTTGTTTCAGCCTCCTGAGTGTTGGGATGACATGCATGCACGACTCTGCCTATCATTGTTTTCACTATGACAGAGTTTTCTACCTTAGTGATTATGCCACAACGCATTAACCACTTCTGTAATGATTTGTGTGCATGCATGGTGCTTGGCATTGAACCCAGGGTCTTGCGAGTGATGGGCAAGCATTCCACAGGCTTAGTAACATGAATACTGAATAGCAAGCATGGTAGACAATAATCCCAGCATTCAGGGGACTAAGGCCAAACCTGGGCCCCATAGTGAATTCCGGGCCAGCCTGAGTTATATAACAATACCCGGCCTCAATGTAAATAAATGAATATAAAATAGAAATAAAAGGAAGAATAAAATTTAAGAAAACATTTGAATTTGTTCAATTGTAATGTTCTTCTAGGTTTTACATTTTTCCCAACATTACAGTTTTTCCTCTGTTCTCTTGTTCTCCTTTTTTGTTTCAAGTCTATCTTAAGTGCAAGTGATTGTGTATGGAATTTCTAAAGCAGTATCATCCCAACTCTGCCCAACATCAAAACACCTGAGGGGCCTTTTGAACAGCTGTATAAACAGGTCATTGCCTGTATTAATTATCCTAGAATGCCTGAGGCTTGGAGCCAGGCCACTGTAGCTTAATCTACTGTTGTAAAGAATTAGAGAGAGACAAAAGTCTTTGGAGTTTAAAAAGAAAATCAAACTTCAGCATACTTTTGTGCTAGCACAAAGGAGCAATGGTAGCAAGCTCATCACAAGTATAAGACCAGTCTTCTCTATGCAGCAAGTTCCAGGCCAGTCAGTTCTGCATGGTGAGACCCTGCCTACAGCTAAGATAGGAGAATTGATATGAGTTCAAAGTCAGCCTGGGCAGCTTAGTGAGTTCCAAGACAATTCAGGCTACATAGTGAGACTCTATCTCAAAACATCACACCAAGAGGAATATATACACATAACTTCTAGGAAGTGTGAAAGTCAAATATTTTAAACAGCCTTAAAGCTTATTCATGTTTTAATCAAGTGTCTGTGCTTCATTAGACCTGATGAACAATTTACAACATGAGACACGATACTAATAAGATTCCTCAAGATGTGGCTGCAGAGAAAACTCAGATATTAAGACCACTGGCTGCTTTTCCAGAAGGCCTGAGTTCAATTCCCAGCACCCCATTTAGCAGCTCACAACCATCTATAACTCCAGTTACAGACGCCATCTTCTGGCCTCAGCTAGCACTTTGAGTTTGTGGTGCACAGACATGTTTTCAGGCAAAAGAACCATACACATAAAATAATAACATGAAATTTAAAAGATTTGTGAAGTTGATACTTAATGAGATTAGGTTTTGGTTGTCAAATTATTGAATACAGGAGTGAGAGTGAATCTCAGTGATAGAGCCCCTGACTACCATGGGGGAGGCCCTGGTTTCCATCCCTAGCACCAAGGGAAAACAAGCATAAATCAATGGAGTGAAGAACACAAGCCACAATGCCCTCTTCATGATGTTTAGAAGTTTGCAGGTGACATCATGCTGTGTGGGCTGGCTCTGTGAGCCCAAGGACCATGTCCTCAGTGAAATGTAGATAGAAACCTAAGGACCAGAGAGAGCAATTATGGGAACTTGTTGAGGAATTCAAGAAACTGGGCTTCTCTGTGGAGTAACGAGGGACAGCTTCATTGTACCTAGTCACTGCGCACAGCCCATTAGCTTTACAGATTTCTATTTCATTACATTTAAAAGTCTAGAGTATCCCTTCTGTCTTTGGTAGCTATGAGGTTTCTGTCCCATCCCATGGAAAAGCCAGCTTACTTTTCATCCCCAGACTGACTTCCCAGTGAATGAGCACCTTGTCCCCAGCAATAAGGAATTTAAAGCCCTGTGGCAGTGTGGAAGGGAGTCTGCTCCCTGAGAGTTTAGCTTTTCTCTCTTTCTCCTAGGTCCCTTAAAGAACAATGGGTGATGCTAATTGGTGTGTGTCTACCTTGGGAGGTTTCAATGTGGGCACTCACCTATTCCTAGTAGCTCAGCCCCTGTCTGGGCTGATGTCACCTGCTGAGACAATGGTACATACTTTGGTTGACTATGGGTAGGGTTACTTCACAGTTCTAGGACAGTCCCTTGGGGGACTAACCTTGGGCCTCTGTTCAGTTGAAGTTGTGTTTTGACACTGCACCTTAGTCTGTCACAGGGAATCTTCACAAAGCCAAACAAACAACTGAAGAAAGGTTCAAAAAGGCTGGAGGCCTACCTCTCTTGCCTTCTTATCTAACCCAGATTATCACTTCCTTTGTGAGCACCCCTTCTACCCTTTCTTACTTGCCCAGCCAACTTAGTGAGAAAGGGGGAGAGAGTTTAAATAAGTTCATCTTTGAAGAAACCTCGTGTTTTCAGCCTTAAACATAAAATCCCATCCGTAGGCCTGATGATGTTTTGAATTTCAGGTTGTTAGACAATCTGAAATTTTGATGGTGGCTCATTTGTGCAGGGTTGTTGTTGCAACTGAATGGACTGGACCATCACAAATGTTCTTATCTTTAGTAAACCTTGGTTGAACCTAAGAAAGAAGGGGGGCTGGGTAAAAGGAAGGAGAAGGGAGAGAAGAGAAAGAGGGAGAGAGAAGGAAGGGAGGGAGGGAGGGAGGGAGGGAGGAAGGGAAGGAGGAAGGAAGGAAGGAAGGAAGGAAGGAAGGAAGGAAGGAAGGAAAGGAG